ATTTGATAGTTTTGTATGTTGTCTGAGGGTTGGCATCATCTGAGGTCCTAGAAGGTAATAGAGAAAAATTAGCATAGCTGCTGTTCCAACTAAGCAAAAAATGATGTGTTCAACCCAAGCAAAAGAATAAAAATGTGCATTTGATCAGATATAGCTGAAGTACAAGGTTATGAGATACATTATGTGAATGCTTGGCTAAAGAGATGTCTTTAATCTAGATTTAAACAGAGAGAGTGTGTCTGAACCCCGAACGTTATCAGGAAGACTTTTCCAGAGTATGGGAGCCAAATGAGAACAAGCTCTACCTCCTTTAGTGGACTTTGCTATCCTAGGAACTATCAAGAGTCCAGAGTTTTGTGACCTTAGGGAGCGTGATGGATTGTAGCGTGGTAGAAGACTAGTTAGGTACGCAGGAGCTAACCCATTTAGGGCCTTAAAAATAAGAAGTAATATTTTGCAACTGATAGGGAACTTAATAGGTAGCCAGTGCAGAGACTGTAGAATTGGGGTAATATGATCATATTTTCTTGACCTGGTAAGGACTCTAGCAGCTGCATTTTGGACTACCTGTAGCTTGTTTATTGAAGTATGAGAGATTGAGTATCATAAGCATAACAGTGGAAACTAATCCCGTATTTTCTAATAATATTACCAAGGGGCAACATGTATATCGAAAATAGCAGAGGACCTAGGACAGATCCTTGTGGCACTCCATACTTTACTGGATTTAATTGAGATGATTCCCCGTTTAAATAGACAAAGTTATTGCGATTGAACAGGTAGGATCGTCTCGGTTACATATGTAACCCTCGTTCCCTGCAGGAGGGAGCGGAGACATCACGTCGGTGACCGACGGTACTGGGAAGAGATGCAGCCTTGGTCTGATGCAAGAAGCAAGTCATTTGTAATTTTAACAAGTGCAGTTTCTGTGCTATGAATGGGGCCTGAAACCCGACTGAAATTCTTCATAGAGATCTTTAACTATAACTTTTTCTAAAATTTTAGACATAAAAGGAAGATTTGAGATGGGTCTGTAATTTGCCAGTTCACTAGGATCTAGTTGTGGTTTCTTAATAAGAGGCTTAATGACCGCCAGCTTGAATGGTTTTGGGACGTGACCTAAAGACAACGACGAGTTAATAATATTGACAAGCGGTTCTTCTGCTACAGGTAACAACTCTTTCAATAATTTAGTGGGTACAGGATCTAACAGGCATGTTGTTGGTTTAGATGCAGTGATAAGTTTATTTAGCTCTTCCTGTCCTATAGCTGTAAAGCACTGCAGTTTTGCTTTGGGTGCGATGAATGAAGCTGAATTACAAGACGCTGTGGATTCTACATTTGTTATTGTATTTCTGATGCTATCTATTTTATCAGTGAAGAAATTCATAAAGTCATTACTATTAAACTATAATAGTGAATATTTAGATCGGGTGGCGTCTGGTTATTTGTTAATCTAGCCACTATGCTAAATAAAAACCTAGGATTGTTTTGGTTATTTTCTATGAGTTTGTGGATATGCTCGGCCCTGGCAGCTTTTAGAGCCTGTCTATAGCTGGACATACTGTTTTTCCACGCAATTCTAAAAACTTCCAAGTTAGTTGTTCTCCATTTGCACTCAAGACTATGAGCTTTTTCTTGAGAGAATGGGTATTACTGTTGTACCATAGCGCAGTACGTTTTTCTCTAACCTTTTTCAATTTGATGGGGGCAACAGCTTCTAATGTATTAGAGAAGATAGTGCCCATGTTGCTAGTTATTTCGTCTAGTTCATGTGTACTTATTGGTACACAGAGCAGTTGAGATAAATCAGGCAGGTTATTTGTGAATCTGTCTTTTTATTTCATTTAGTGTCTTTTTAACGTAATAATAACCCAGAATTACATTTGTTTGCATATTCACAGATATTCATATATCTGAATAAATCCCATTTAAACACACCTGAACCAGATCTTCAGGATTTCTAGAAACCTTCCAAACAGGTGAAAGTTGGAGCAGGTATATGCCAGATCTCAAGAAATCAGAATATGCGTAATCTGGTTATGGCAGTCAGGTTAATTGTGTTGCATTACTCTTA